AGTGAGAAGCAGGAGAAAGGAATTATTGCATCTCAAGGCAGCTGAAAGACTAACTAGAGGAAGAGTTTTAGGAGGGGAGTGAAGTGGTTGGCACAGATACTGTCTCAAATCAATCCAGTGTTTTCTGTGATTTAAGTATTTAATGGTTTCACAAACATACTTTAATATATTCATTGTACATCACACCATATCCTATCTTCTCTCTGGCTTTGTGTAACTATGCAGCCTTGTGTGTATCAGATGTCACAGCTACCTCCTGCCCTGGATACGTGCATGGAAGAGCTTTGCCATGGTGCTCCTGTCTACCCATCAGTTGCCTGATGGAAAATAATCTGTAGAGGTCACAGCTGATTAGGATGGGAGGGAGAAATCGGCTTTCTTGGTTTCTCTTTCCTACATCCTGGGGTAAACCTGACCCTTTGAGTTGTGCAGCACTTGTGATAAAGTCATGTTGTATTTGGGCACGAGGAAAAAAATCCTCCATTTGGACAGCCCTGGGCTTGGGGATAGAGGGAAGAGATGTATGCAGAAGCACAGCCAGAAAAAATCCAATCAAAACCTGAATCTAGGTTGAATTTCTCGTATGCTGTGTATATAATTCCCTTTGACCCATTACAAAATCCCAGCCCTGTGTTGTTCAATACTCTATCCCTTTACAAATGGTATGGCCCAAATCTCAATGTGAAGTAATTTAGAACTTCAGCGAGGGTCAGGGCATCTGGAACTGCACTTCATTTCCTTTCTGTGCTCTTCTTAATGAGGGACGCTGCTGTGTTAATGGGGTTTTGTTTGTTTCTTTCAGGCTGCTTGCTCACCAACCGATGTCACAATTAGTGACATCAAAATCATCTCTTTGTGAGTGTTGATGACATGACCATAGGAGGAGCCTTATAAGAGGCAGGAGACTAAGGAGCGAGTCAGTAATACTGGGAGATCAAAGCTCTTATTTTCATGCAAATATGTGCAGTCAAAATGAATGAAAAGAAGTGAAGATGGGAAGTAGGTAATATGTTAGTAGAATTATTACTGAAGGGGATATTGCTGAAAGTTTTGCAAGAGGCATTAGTGATGCTTTAATCTCCTACCTTGTGCCACATTATGTTCTGGGCATGTCAAAATGTACTACAGTGTAACAAGACATGATCTGTTGGATGAGGCTTTATGTAGCATGAAAAGGCACTTGTGCTTTCTCTTTTTATTATTTACATTCCCGGAGAAAGTTGTGTGCTATGTGGGCTTTGCAGAGTTAAATGGCTAACTTGAGCTTTCTGGCAGCGTCCACAGAACTCGAGGAGGAGTCTGCCTGCCTAAGCATTGGCCTGAGCGTTTTGAAGACTTGAGCTCAATTCTGATCCTTGAAGGATATACATGAGAGAGTACTTGTGGCTGTGTGTCCTGAAGATGCATGCAGTGGGGTACAGTAGACAGTGCTAAGGGACTCAGAATTGAAATAGTCCTGAGAAGGGGCTGCTGCGAGTTGTGTGTTGGCCTTACTATGTGAGGATCCTGCTAGTGGAAAACCAGCAAGTGATACTGGGCAGCACAGAGATGGTCTGGTCAGGACTGTGGTCATGGGAGTATTGGAAGCAGTAGTGGAAAACCAGCAAGTGATACTGGGCAGCACAGAGATGGTCTGGTCAGGACTGTGGACATGGGAGTATTGGAAGCAGGAATGAAATAAAGCAGCTCAGCCAAGTGCAGGACCCTTGATGGATGCCTGCCAATTGGTTTACTGAGTATGACTGGCCAATGCCACCATTTGCACTTTCATGAGCCATGATGTTTATCACTGTTATCATAACAATTTCAAGGCAGGTAAGTAACTAAGTAATTGGATGTGTTTTAAAGTACAGGACTGAGTGACTCCTGCCTGCCACAGAGTTAAATCTTTGTTTCCCACTTGTTTCAAGGGAAGTTTTATGGCCATGTCTTCAGCTCTTTGCTCTATTTGCTGCTTCATTAGACTTCATGTTGGGTGCAGTCTGGGGGAGCACAGCAGTTTGACATGGGTTTTGGCTATGATGGCTTCTGTGAAGGGAACAAGCACTTAACAAAATCTGTGGTTTGCCTGCTCGTACATACCTCTCGTTATGACTCCCCTTTGGATGGGATGTGTGAGATGCAGACGTGATTATCAGGAACTTGCTGTTGCAGGCTAGGGCGCTTTTAAAAGAAGCTAACTTGAATAGAGACTTCCCTGGCTGGACCCACAGGATATGTGTGGGTCCATCCTTTGTCACACATGCAGAAGAGAGGCAGACCAATATCTGCCAGGTCTCTCTCTCTCCACCCTTTCCCAAGTTTTCAGATCGGGACACTCCAGAAGCTTTTTTTGACACTGAATCTAAGTAAGAGAGGTGTGACTTTGTATAAGCCTTGGAAGGAGCAGAACTCTGATCTCTGCTAGGCCCGCTCTATCTTGCAAATAGCAGAATTGCAACAAACTTTACTGGATTTTTGAGATGAGCAAGCCCTTGCTTCAAGGTTGTTGGTTTTTTTTAATTTTTTTTAATTTTGATTAAGGAAAGAACCTTTCAATTAACATGCCGTCTTCTTTATACGGGGAGAGAAGAGATAAGAGTTAAAAGCTGCAGTCATCAACTGCAAAAAAGAATATGGTTTATTTTGCTTTGTGCTATTTACAGCTGTTGTCCATTAGGAGTCTCATTTTCAGCTACAATGGCAGGACTCCTGTAAGTTTAGCTCGGCAATGAGTCCGCAAAACAGCACTACATCATGGTGATGGGAGGAAGAAGAAAATGTTTGGAAATGGCAAAATGCAGCTGATGTCTTTGCAAAAGCTGGTTTTCGCTTGCTGTTACTTTAAAGCACTACTTAAGGTAGACTGTAGTGCACAGCATCTAGCTGGAGCAGAATAAAAATTTTGTACTCTAATTTTGGAGGGAAAAAATCAGAATGGCTAGTAGTTTTGCAGGGGTAAAGGGATTTTTTTTGCAATCCATAAATGCTTAAGGCATTTAGTAGATTTTGATCAGTGGGCATTTAGTAGATTTTGATCAGTGTATGTTTATGTAACCTGATAGCAAGGTAAGATGTAAGAATGATACAAAACCAATGCATGGCTACTGGAAAAACTGAATGCCAGTGCTTTACTGGATGCACAATATGTGACTGCTTTGTATGAAGTCTTCGAGCTGGGATTGCAGTTCAATGTTTTCAGTGCCCATCAGCCCCCTAAGAGGGAGGGGTGGGGGCAATTGTTTTCAAATCTGAATCTGCATCCCAACAGACATAACTGAATGTACAGCTATGGAGAATAATTAGTTCCTTCTTTGACTGGGAAATGAGGAATTTCACTTATTCTTAGTTCTGAAACAGCCTTTGTTTTGTCAAACAAATCACTCTAGAGCTCTGTAATACATCTGTATTTTTTAGCAGTGGTGTTCTACCTCTCTATTTCACACCAGCTGATTAATGTTTTGTAAAGCATTTGGAAACTGAAGGACAGCTTTGGGAGCTAAGGGCAAAGGAGTATAAGCTGCTAATTCAGCACTTGTTTGCAATGTTATTGTTCACACAGTAGCACTCAGCTGATGCCTTTGGAAGGGCTGTGTTTCCTGTCTTTTTACTGCTCTGAAGGCCTGTCGTTGGGATCTCCTCAATTCATGCAGGGGAGCAGAGCCCGAGGTCTGGAGTCATTTGATGGAACTGGACAAAAACATCCTGGCATCAGTGCGATGCCCTGACAAATATTGGTTGGCACAAAAGCAAATCTGTCAGGTGGATTTGTGACCAACAGTCTAATATTGTGAAAACTCACAAAAGTATAATTTTAAAATAAATCCTTGCTTTGTCCTTTGCTTTTATTTCCTGTTCCTGCCAAGTATCTCCCTCTGTCTTTTCCTGTTCCCAAATCCTCCTTGGCCCATCCGTGAATTATGCTCAGTGCAGATGGGAGCTTCTGAGAATCTGCTGTCAAATTTGGTCTTTTTTGAGCATGTTTATACTGAGATTTTTGGAGACTTATAACTAGGCCAAATGTGGGTGCTTTTTCACAGGAACAGCAAACATCTGAAAACAGGGCAACTTTTTCTGCCAAATTGCAAGTCTGCTTCACAGCACGGATTCATTAGATCTTATCAATGAACTGTTTTGTAACATTTTTGTCATTTAAAATAAAAGGTCCCTCCCACCCCCCAGTCACTACATCTTATGTCTCCCTTCCCCTTATCTGAAACAGCTGAACTATTCTAGTTGCAATTTCTGAAAATTAGCTTCGCAAATTTAAGTCCTGACTGTTAAATTGTGAGCAAGTTATAAACAATGGAAAACTGTCTTTCCACCAAAAGTAACAGCCTATCTTAGTTATGCATGTTGTAATTGCTGCCATTTGAGACTGTATCCTTTTGTTGTATGGGTATGAAATCATGGCAGCTTGAAGTACTTCTATCCCTCTGCAGCTTATCAGGGGTACTATATTTGTGTGTTCCTCTTTTAGTTCTGTCAAACTAACTCCATTAGTTATGATCCTAACCCTACGAGATGGGCTACTGCCAAAATTCAGACCGTTTGCATGCCTTGGAACCCTTGTAAAGGTGGACAGATCGGTTTAGATATTTGAAAGGGTTTTAATTGTTAATGGAGAAAAATGCAAGTGAAACAGGGCTTTGGAAAATGAAATAACTTCTAGCTGCCTTTTAAACCTTAGTGCGGTTTGATAGGGTCAAACTTTCAAGAACTGTCTGAGAAGGCTGATGCTGTTTTGTGAGACAGTAATCTGCATATGAAAAAGGTCCTCTAATGTAATGGTTCATGTAAATGTGTGCAAGATATCATGGAAGCAAAAAAAGCAAAGGAGTGGGGATGACACTAGCATGTGCTGATTCCTAAGGTCAAACTTGGGATCAATTGGCAAATAATACCTTTAGGAAATGTCTGGACTATCTAGGGGTATGTTTTCTGTGTTGGGTTATTGCTGTAATTAAAAAGCAAAAATACCACTTACAAAGATCTGTCTAATTTTTGCTTTTCTCTTACAGACAACCGTCCTTATGTGTTTCTAATGGCTCGTGTTCACCCTGGTGAAAGTAATGCCAGCTGGGTAATGAAGGGGACTCTGGAGTTCCTTTTAAGCAGTGATCCCATTGCTGATCTCCTGAGGAAATGTTTCATTTTCAAGATTGTCCCCATGCTCAATCCGGATGGAGTCATCAATGGCAAGTGAGTTGTAGTAATGTCTACTTATTTTGGGTTTTTGCTGGGATTGTCTCCCAGGCTTTATCCATGTGTGTCTGGCGGGGTCTCACCTTCAGTCTTTTGGGTCAGGAGAACCCCTTTGCTTAGAGCCTTGTGTTTCTTTCATTCTGTTGTCGATCCATGTGAAAAAAGTATATCTGAGATGGAGCCCAATGTGTCTTGCATGTCTCAGATGTCTGAGATTATGCACTGGGTGTGACAATAAGATGTCTCAGTTGCCAGGATGAAGCATTAGTGGTATTAGACAAACTGGGTCTTGCTTGCCACCTGGAGATCTATCTATTCTGCTACATCAGTATGGTAGACTTTACCTGTAAGGCAGATATACTTGGGAATAACTGACTTTAATTAATGCTTTGTATAGCCTGAGGGAAGAAGATGAATAAGGATCTATTATATCTTCACGCTTTCATGGGAATATTTCCATCTAGTGAAGCTCCCTCCTTCTCCTACCTGCATTTCATTCTTGCCTCCCACACATTTCCTAAAAGATACTGAGTCCTGAGCTTATAAAAATATTGATTCCCTCTGGATTCTTTAGAGCTGCCCATCTGAACTAACATGCCTCCACACTCTCTGCTCAAGAGTGGAAGTGCCAATCTGCTCCTAATATGTAACCATGAAATGAATATTATTAAGCCACTAGTGAAAGTGGAATTTCTTTTGAAGGCTTGACAGGCGCACTAAGATAAGTGCACTTATCTTGCACTTTGCTGGGAAAATCTCCAGTATCCCTGAGAGCAGTGGAGTTTACTCACTTCATTGGGTGTTTGTGGAGCAAGTGCATCTTAACAGCTGTCAGTCCTGTCCCTGGTGCAGGGGCTGGACATCATGAGTATATCCCACGGCAGCGGGGGAACTGTGCATTTTGACCAGGTGATAAGGGCTTGCAGGATTTGGTAACAGTTGTGTCCCCCAGCTTGTTGCAATGAACTAATCTCAAAGCTGAGAAATGGGTTTAAACAAGTACTGAAATGCATAGCTAGGTCTAGAGGAATAACTTTCCTTATGCTACATTCACCTGTCTGCTTTCAGGTCCGGCTGTGTAGACTGAGTGCTGCAGAAAGAGGAAAACAAACCTAAGCAAAAACTGAGTTGAACTTGTTTGGTTCTTCTAAACTAATTCATTTCAATTTTGGATAGCGTCTAGTCTGTGTCTATAGGAAGTCATAGCCTTTGTGCTACTGCACTTCCCAGGACATGAGTGATCAGTAGTTTGGAAGGGCTGTTGTGAGTAGCTGGATGCCGCCCCTACATATTCTAAGCCTCTGCTGGCACCACATGCTTCCCTGATCCTCCCAGACAGTGGAGGCAAAAAGGAAAGGCTGCAGCTCCTCTCCCCCCCTCCTCCAAATTCCTCTCTTGCACTGCTTAATTAAAGTTTCCAGCAGATGGAGGGCTCGAGGGAATATCTGACCTTTTTTGTCCAGCTGTCAGGAGGGGAGAGTAGCAGAAAAGGGGCCCTCAGGAGAGGGGAATGTGGCTCTTTGTGACATCTGGTTAAAGTGACTGAGTGCATGCCATGCAGAAGGTGTTTTGCCTTCCCTGGTGCAGAGGGAAGCTTAAACTGTAGTTTAACCTGGTGATGAGTGACCCTTCTAGAGAAGTTTTGTAAGCTTTATGTGTAGGATGGGGTCTGGAGAGCAGGGACTTGGCCATGGCTCTGTTACTAAACATGAGGCCTGGGGAAGGGAAAGAACAATTCCTTTATGCTTTAATTTACAAACTTCTATTCTGTGAGGCTTCCTGTATCTCAGGTAGTCGTCTTGTTCTTACCACATGTTTTTTGGTAGATTTGAGTCTACCCGTATTGCAAGAAATGCTTCTGTTCTGGGTCTGAGGTTTCTAACTGTTAAGTGGAGATAACCATGCATGTTGCAGAGGGAGAACCTGCATGTGCTGGTTTATTTGATCACTTAATGCCTCACCTGGTCCAGTTTTAAATTTTACAGTAAACTATCTTTTGAGTCACTGCTACCATTACATGGGAAACATTTCAGGGGAAACTAATCTATAGCCCTTTGTTGACCATAATACTTGCAAGAGGCATTTTGTACTTGTGAAGTATATTTTTCACTTTTAAAACTCATTTCATGGAGCCACTTGTTTGGCCTGAGTCTCATGAGCCCTTGTGCAAGTCCCGCAAGAACTCCCTTGACAGCCTGCTGGAGTGTCCGGTGTTTCCTCTGCCAGTATGCTGACCTGCTTTCTGGTTTCATATGCACTGATGTGCTCTTGCACCTCCCCTGCTGTGTTGTTTGGACATGCTGAATGCATCAGGTCTGCCGTCCAGGCCAACAAATATCCTGACTCTGCAATGGGCTCTGGAAATACCAAGATTTCCTCTGTTTCAGTGCCTCTTTTCCTAAGACCATGTCCAAAGGTGTGGGGTTTTTTTGTTTTTTTGGGGGGGGGGAGGGGGATAAAATGATAACTTCCATGAAAAAAGTGGTTAAAGGAGCCATCCAGAGCAGTGTGACCACCCTGTGCAACTTGCTCTGGCTTTTTAACTAGCAGAGTGACTTTCTTCTTTCCCCACTTTGGAAGTGCATCTTTTTATAAATCTATTCCCTGCTATCCTTCCCTCTTTCTGTCCCATGTTATTAATCATGCTTTCTTTGTCTTATCTCAGTGTCCTTCCTTATTTAAGGAAGAGTCGGATTCTTTTTGTTGGCAGTTCTTTGAAGCTTGTCACTCTCCCCCCTCCCCAGTCCTGTGTTGGGGTATGCATATACTTCCCTGGCCCTTGCGGAGAAAAATGCCAGTGTTTGGTTACAAAGGTTTCCTTCCAGCAGCCCAGCTGTGCCCCTTCTCCAGCTGGCTCCCTGCTGGAGGCACAGCTCAGTGGACGAGCGCTCATCCCAGCAGGGTACCGCACGATCGTGCTTTGGGAGCCTTGTGTAGCTACAAGACAATCAGGGCCTTAGTGTTTGCTTTGGTTAACGTGATCTGAAAGTTGCATGCAGAGAATGTTCCTCTAACGCAAATATGACTGCAGAAATGTGATTACGCTCTGGCAGTGTGTGGCTGAGCTCTCCACCCTCCCTTACGTTTCGGTCAGTGCTGTGGAAAATCCATTGCTGTTTGTCAGTGATGGAGAGAATTGCAGCTGTGTCTCTGATGCTAAATGAAGGTAGTGATGGTGCAAGCATGTGTTCGAGTGTTCTCATCACTTAAAGTATAGATCACTAGCAGATACTGCAGCTAATTGGCTTTGTTCAAGCCACAGATTTGCAGTTGTGTCGCTGTATGTGACAAGGACTTTGCTCCATCCTGAATAGCAATCAGGTATAGGGTTTGTTAAATAATTTGCAGCTGATAGATCTGAAAATGGCTTTATATTTCAAATGAATTACTACCACTGCTACTTTTTGTAAAGCTGATCTTGCTCTCTGCCAGACATTGGCTTTTGACTGCTCCTGGAGACAAGATGCTGCCTTAGATGGACGTGTGGTCTGACCTGATTGGCCTGGTACAATCATTGATATGTTATATCTTTTATCAAAGGAACAAAATTGAAAGGAAAAGCACAGTCTCCATTCCTCAGAGAACAGAAATGCAATTGTCTGAAGTGACAGCCATTTTAAACCAGTCAACAGGGAGTGTCCTTGCAGACCTACTTTATTTTGCATAGGTTGTTCTGTGAGGACCCAAAGTAAGTGTCATATGACTGCTTTATTCCTATCCCCTTCCTTAACTGAATTATAGTAAAAATAATAAATGAATTTCCTCCACAGCTTTACTAAGTGCTGGAGAATCCACAAAGGGGATTTTGTTAGGAAACTGATATAAAATGCAGTGGGTGAGCAGGAGACCAGTGCCTTGTTCCCGACTCTGCTACTGATGCACTATGTGACCTTGGTCATTGCCTCTCCTTTTACCTGAGTTTTCTTCACTGGAAAATGAGATAATGTTATGCCACAACCTTTAAGTAGTTTGAGGTGAAATAAGCATATTGGGAGTATTTTTTTTTCTTTAGTCTAGATTCACTGCTGTTTTAACTATTAAGCTAGCGTTTGGTTTGTACAAGGTAAAAAGTGGTGTTCTCGCAAGACTCTAGGCTTATTGGCAGTGACATGAAGAGGCTTTGGTGAAACTTTTTGGATTGTTGTAAAGAAAAAGCTCATCTGTTTGGAATTTCTGTACCCTCAGAGTAGGTCTATTATATTATTGTTATATAAACTGCTGGAGCTAGGGATAGTAAGGAAACTTGTAAAAGGCTTAATTTTGGAAATGCAAATAGCATTTTATAAATAACACAGAAGACTTCCCTTTCCATGCTTTTCTGCCTAAAGATGCTATTGTAGCTTGTGCATTGACTGAGTTAACATATGCACTCGCACCTACCTGCGCGGTTGTGTTAGCTAGTGATGTGCTCTTGTGCTGTTTTGCTGTCTAAGTTCCTGTTCTGCATCCCTCAGCAGTCTGTACATGCAGCCATGCCTTAGCATCTGCTCACGCTTGCGTTCTTGCTACATGTACGCACCTAGCACACCCATGCATGTGCTCACGGTCACATGGTTGTCAGCATTTTGTGTTTGTGGCTAGACTTCTCCAGGCACTGCAGTTCTGGATAAGTATTGCTATTTATTATACCTAAATTTAGTAATTAATTATATCAGTATAACTTAATTTATATCACCATAAACAGCAATAATAAATTTTGCCAAATACTAATAGTCCATGCTTGCCAACTGTACCTGTGTTTGAGGGATTTTTCTTCTGCACTTCCCAGAAGTATTAAATTAAAACTGATTCAACTTTACAATATAATTGATCACACAAGAAATGGAGGCTCTGAGGGAAATGCTTTTTATTTAAAAAAGGAGGGGGGGGGAGGAAAGTGTAGGATGAAGGACACTCCTGGGCAGCTTGCACATGAAGATGTTTTGTGTATTCAGATTCCCTTCCCACTCAGAAACCCCTAACTGGGTCAATATTAGTTCTGTTTAGTTCCTCTCTTA